GCCCGGGGTTTGGGTTTGATGGTGGTGGTGGCCGTGGCGGTGGTGTTGTTGGGGGGATTGGTTTTGGGGGTGGGGTGGCCGCCGGTTTGGTTGTGGTTTAGGTTTGTTTGAGGGGGATTTATCAGTTCTGGAGTTGGGGCTTGTGCTTGTGTATGGGAGATAATCTAGTACGCGTCGAAGCCAGCATAGTAACTTTCATACAACAGATCTCGCTAAAAGAATTCACGTCTAAACAAGTTTGTTCATGACCCGGCCTTTGCCCCTAGCTGCACGTCACTACAACATCCCCAGCCACGCCACCCGCAGCCTCCTCCCCACCGGCAAGCGCATCTTCCGCGCCGTCCGCAGACTCTCCCCCCTCCGTTCCCGCAGATACCGCCCAATCTCCATATAGCTCTCCACCGTCGTGCGCACCGGCCCTCGTACCCCGGCCGGCAACTCCTCGATCGCCCCCCTCGCCCTACCATACAGCCCCTCCGCCTTGTCCAGCAACCTCGCCTGCATCGCGTACGCCGCCGGCGACCGGGGATCCACCAGGATATCCGCCGGGGTGAGCCCGGCCTCGGCCAACCAGGTCGTCGGGATGTAGACGCGCCCGATGGCCGCGTCGCGGTGGATGTCCCGCGCGATGTTGACGCACTGCAGCGCCTTGCCCATCTCGCGGCCGGCGCGGGCCATTGCGATGTGGTTGTAGAGCTGGGATTGGTTGTAGTGGTGGTGGAGGAGGTCGAGGACGAGCTCGGCGACCGTGCTGGCGACGTGGGTCGCGTAGCGGTCGAGGTCGTGTTCTGTTGCTATTGGGGAGATGACCCTGTCCTTTTCCGTGGACTTTTCTGTGGACTGAGCGGTGAACGCGAGGTCCATTTCGAAACCCTTGAGGAGGTCGTAGAGGGGTTGCGTGGTCATTCGGGAGAGCGGCAAGATAGCTATTGCGCGGTGCAGGAGGGCCTGCTTGGTTTGATCGTACGGGGGCTTAGGGCTCGCCCAGCGTGCCTGTTCCTTCGGGCGGATCCGCGCGTCCAGACACCGCTGGCACTCTGCGATCCAGAACTGTGCTTCCCCCGCGTCTTCGGCTTCGTCGATGAGATCGTCGATCACGCGGCAGAAGGAGTATCTTGTTTCTGTTAATGGTGTTCACTGCGGGGGCAACGGGGAAGGGGAGGCGTACACGTAGATCAAATCCACCCGCACCGGGCCCTGGAACAGTGCACTCCCCACGAACATGCTCTGGCTCTTCTCGTGCAGCCGTGCGACCGCCTGCTGGAGGTCGGTGATGGCTGAGGCGTGAATGGCCGGGGGCCGGATCATCGCCTGCAGGACGTCCTTCACCGCATCGCGCGTCGTGCCGGGCGCATCACCCGTGCAGATGGTGGTGTAGTCGGCCATCGCACAGGCGTAGTCGAACCCAACCAAGCCGAATACAATCATCACGTTCGTCACGAGGAAGAAGAGCATTTCCCTGCGGGTTTCTTAGCTTACACATAGACAATGAAAATGATGAGGGGGAATACTCAATCTCCAGCCCGAAAACATGAACCCCCAGTTGCGTTGCGGGTGCTATCGACCACACCCCCGCGGCCATGGCGCTGCGATCTGCGACCCACAGATACACGGTCGGAAAGACGATTGGAAAGGTGGTCACGTTCCACGGAAGACTGAGGATGAACGGGGCGACCAGCATCCTGACCAGCGTTAGCCCTCACTATGATCGATGCCTGCAGGAGCAGAGGAAGCCACCCACCATTGAAGAAAAACAACCGGCAAAGCCCAAATCAGAATCAACCCCAAATACGTCCCTCCTCCCCCTGATACAAAACAAATCATCCCGATCGCAAACGACGCGACCAACCCGAGTCCCCCCAGATTTCGCGCCCGCCGCACCGGCTGCACGGGCAGGTACATGGGCAGCACCAACGCTTTGGAGCAGATGCAGTATACCATCCCCGTGATGGAAGTCTGCAGGACGAAGAAGGCAACTTCCTCCAGCGGAATATTGTAGAGGGCTCGGTTGAAGGTGGCGTCCGGGGGGTAGGACCAGATCCCGTGGCGGATCAGGTAGGAGTCCCATGGTATTGTGGCTGCTACCGCTAGCTATCATCCATCAGGTTTCGTTTTGAAGGCAAAGGGGGCAAAAGGTGGGGCTACAATATTCAAAAATGCGATTTTGCAGATGTCTCTGCTCGTAAAGAACGGGTAGTAGAATATAGTTAGTAGGGCTGCGACCGGGATGGTGTAGGTACAGTGGCTGGTTGATGTACTCGTTAGCGGTATTCTCTGATGGTAAGACCGTCACTCACAATAACAAATACTGAGCCCCCATGGTGATCGTTCATGTGCTCCGTCACAGGATCGCAGTGGTGTTGATCCCATAAATACAAGGGGGTAGGTGGTGACGAGTGTGACCGTGGGAATTTCGAATTGTTGGCGTCATGGATGTGCGGTGATGCAAGGTCACAGCCATGCGGCAAGGATTGGGGCTGGACGCCGGGCAAGACCGTGCTAGTTAGTGGTGCCCGTGCCCTGGCTCGCGCTGCCTGCTTGCGGATGCGGATATCTCCACCTGGCAAGGCTTGGAATCACCTGATTTCGGTCCGCAAAATCAAGCGCAATTGCACTTAATCCGGAAATCCGAGTTCCTGGTCTTGTTCTGGGAAAGTATGATTGAGAATCCGGGGAAAGAAGCGTGGAAGGTGGAATGGTTGGCATGGCTCGAAGCTTGTTGATGTGAGAGCAGGAGGGATTCCCCACATTCTTCAAGGTTCGAGGTTTCAAAGTTCAAGGTTGGTCAAGTCAGAGAGATCCTTGGTGGGCCCAACCAAGGCGCTGACCAGATGGCCGAATGTACTGGCATGCCGTTACTTCCAGGTGGATACCGATATACTTGATACTGATTGTAAGCAGGTGGCTCATAACCTGCGACGCTGGATTCTGTTGTTCGAGATCGGTGCAGTGGCAACAGAGGGGAAGTGACCGAATAACTGGAATCTTGAATTGTCAGTGCTTTGATTCCAGTGATGGGGTCTTATCGTTGGTTAATATGATGCTCAAAGCCAACAGACTCATGTTTGCCTAGCGGAACCGTCACTTCTTGCTCATTCTGGTCATCCGCGTCTGCCATGCGCTCAGTCGTTCATGGTTCATCCAGCATCTTTTTAGTGACTTGTTGGTGATTATAGTGGATTCAATCACTGCGCCATTTATGCACGACGCTGGCAGGCTGTGGTGGGTACTACCTGCATCAGTAAGCTGGCACCTGGCTCAAGATTGGAGCCTTGGAGGTTAAGGCCATGAAATTTTCTACAGGTGTTGTCATATTGGATTGTTCAGACATGATGCCAAGCCTGTTGCACCTGTCATGCTGACTTGGCTAATGAACCGGGCTTGTGCGGGGCAATCGCAATGTAACACAAATGGGACTGCGCACATGACGACAAGAAAAAAATGTACAGCATAAAATGCGAAAAGTCTTATGCATATCGTCTACAGGCCCTTGCTTCCACAGTATTCCTCGTAGGCAAGGTATCATCCGCCGGTGTCTGGTCCCGGCGGATTACGTCGATGCCTTACAAGGTGACACATATATCTGGGCGACAGTTCCCAACAATAAGTCAGGTTTCGATAGAAGGAAACAATCCAGCAAACTTGCTATTGCCTGATCTAGACTCCTCGAGCCGCCTACACTGGGAAAATCCTCATTCTAACACCAACCCAAGCAAAATGCATTCGCTCCCCGTCCACCAACTTCCCATCGACACTTGACCCCCATCTGAAGTCCTCCAATTGCCCACAGGCGAGAAGGGCTACCACTGGATCCTCTCCGATGCGGAAAGAAACCATATCGCAGAGATGCTCGACGTGGAGGGTATGTTCCCCCCTTATCACTATCTATAGCGCTATTTTTTTCAAGATCCGTTTCTCAGCCTGGGAGCTCAAACTAAATTACATCAAGACAAATCCCTCCTCACTCTGCGTGGCAATCGGATGATGCGGGAGCGCGCAACCTGTTCCGGCTGCGGCAAGCACTCCGGCCTCGACGACCTCGTCCACAATGCTCTGTATGCCGGCATCCACGGCAAGGCGTTCATGTTGGACGTGCTGGTGCACGGACCCAAGGCCGATAGTCCTGGGCATGAGATCACTTGCTCCGGCTGTGGATTTGTCCATGATGGCTTGTTCTTGTGGATTCCCTCTCTACCCTGGTGATATTGAGTGGACAATCATGGCTCTGTTCTTGGAAGATTTGCTAAATGGAAGAACTCTACATTTACATCATGTCGGTTTGTTAGACCTAATGATCAATCACTTCAGATTGCCAGATGTATATTGGTATTCGGTTCCTATTGGGTATGTAGTTCTCTCGGTCGTACGTAGTCGAGACCCTAATCAACAGTGATCCTCACACTCCGACTCACAGTCGGTCTGACAGCCGTCCCATCCTCGCGCGTGCCGGCGATAACTTAGCAACTGTCGCTCAGTCAAATGATCTGACCAGCTACTGTACCAGTCCAGGAACTCGGGCATGGAGTCAAAGCGCGGTCTGCGCCCGTACAGCTGTTGCGGCTCCCAGGGGTCGCAGTAGTCCACCTCCATGAAGACAATCCGCCATCCCCATTCACCAATATTGGGCGAGTCTGGGATATCATCATTCCACCTCATCTTCTTCTGTTCCCCATCCCCAACCCTCTCCTCACCCTCTTCTTCGTCGTCATCCGGATATTTCCGACAGTAGAGGTAGGCACTATACCACTGGGGCCACTGCCCCTGATACCCTTCTTGCCCAGTGAGAACCCCAGCCTTGACCTCCAGATCGCAATCCACATCAGCCACAATCGTCGCCCTACCAAATAGCGACGACTGATAGCTGTCGGGCTGTTCCAGCGACTGCCGCAGATGCTCGCACTTTGTGCGTACACACTCATGGTACCGATCTTCACGCTCGTGCCGCTGCCGTCCACCCTCCTCATCCTCGTCCTCCCCACGCTCACCCTTCACTCCCTCCCCAATTCCCTCCAACTCCTCATCCTCAAAACGGATGTACAACCCAGCCTCAAACTCCGCAACCCCGGAGTGCCGCAGATCCGGATCCCGGACCTCGTGCGCGTACCGCAGGAACCGGCCCAACTCCTCGCACCGCGGGATCACCCCGGGATGCTCGCTCCCTTGCAGCATATCCAGGTAGATCTGCCGCGCGGTCTCGGTGCGCAGCCGCGTCGGGTAGACCCCGTCCATGCGCCGGTCGGGCACGGCGTCCTCGTCCACCATCTGGAGGTAGGGCTTTCCCTCGTCCCAGCGGTTGGGTGCTGGATCCCAGTCGCAGTGGTGCCACTCCGCCATGCGCTGGATCTTCGTCTGGTCGGGGCCACTGGGGTCGCGGGTTTCGATCTCGGCGATGCGGGATTGGATGAAGGCGCGGTTGGCGGTACGCATGCGCGCGCGGAAGCGGGTGAGGGCGGAGAGCATGGCTGGGTCGGGGTCTGGGTTGGTGGCTGCAGGTGGGGTTGCATCTGGGATAGAAGAGGAATGGTCGGCCATGATCGGTAATGGAATAGGGTTGGGTTCTCGATAACGAAAGACACGCGCTGTGCAGTGCATAGAATGTGATCACGGGTTGGGCGAAATAGAATTCAACGTTGCGCCTTCATTGCAAGCATACATGCACTATCGAGAGGTATTTAAGCGCTACCTGCCATTTGTTCCAGTGGCATGTCTGAGCTCTTTTTTCTTGAGTGGTCAAGTTGTGCGCGCTAGGGTGGATCGATTACGGGTTCCATTGTGGGGCGGCTAGCCACCGATTCACGGGTACCAGCATTGCATGGAGGAGATCTGACTGTCTGATCGCACATATTTGTCTGGCAGTTAGTCTGGTTGATTGCAGAGTGCACAGTACGGTTGAACATAGCATTCAGGGCATCCTGCCAAGAGGTAGCCAAGAGTTCTCAGGCAGCCACGTCGCTGCCTAGCTCAAACTTCATCTACACTATTTCTGCCCTAGGCCTCCACAGCCCTAGGCCTTCAGGACTTCTTCTTGCGCTCTCCGAGGCTTGGCCCTCTAATAAACATCCAATAAAGCTGACGCTTTTGACACACGAAGTACAGTAGCCTGTGATGGAAAATGGAGTGCACGCGAGATGCTCCGACCTCCCCACTTGCTACCGAAATTGGAGATACCTAGCCCGTTCAAGAAGATTGAGTCTCCGAAGTTCGGTCCACTCCACCAGGTCTCCTGCATTGCAGTGCGGACTCGTCGCGTCTTGAGGCTTCATATTATCCCAATCCTGCTTCAAACCACCCCACGTACTTGCCTCTGTCAACCTGCATGGTATCGTCATCGCCTCCGAAACTCCAAGCCTAATGAGGCTTATCTCAGACTGGTCATGCTTGTACCACTAATTTCTGAAGAGGAGCTCTGGCCGGGTAAAATTCTAATATGTGTTCAATATGATTCTGGTCCGGACCTCGACGACGACGACAAGCGCGCGACAGCCAGGGGATAGTGGTAATTTGTGCAGGTCTCTACCCCTTCGACTCTCTATCCGCTAAGACTCGTCTGATCTTCTCCTGCAGGGGGAGTGGGTGGAAAGCGAGACCGTGGCCGATAAATTGCAATAAAGACGTGCTCTGATGTAAAGATGGGCGGCCGTCGATCAACACCTCCGCGATGTGTGAAATAGCAATCCTGTTAGGTCTAGGAACCTCGGAGTAAACCTAGCCTCTACGGTCGAGGTTCTGCACCTTTCATAGTCATATCATTGCTGCGCCCCTTTACACCCGGCTGTCTCATATAACCCTCCGTCATCCCAGAATTCCGCGGGAATCCTCGCCACCCGAAGAAACTCATTTGCTCCCCCGTGAGTTAACACGAACACTTTCGAAACTACACCCATGAAATCCAAAGCATTGCCCGCCCCTTGCGCTACAGCACCACCGGCAACGACCCCATCCCCAGATCCCCGCCGCGAGCCCCATTCCCCACCCGAAATCACCCACCTGATGTCGCTCTACTAGATCGAAACCGCCGACTTCCGGTAGCTGTCGATGACGCGCTAGGGTCAGGTGCTCCTCGACGCCAAGCACCAGGTCTACCCCGTGATTGACCAAGAAGCGCTGATTACTGAGCCGGTCGTCCTCTACTCCTTCCAGTCCAACGGACAGGTGGCGGCCTCGACGCGCCTGCAGCCGTGGCCCATGGCGGCTGAGATGCCCTGGTGTGCATGCAAGGCTGGCATTTCCGCCGGTTGATCGACGAGCATCCTTACTACCATTGCGGCCTAATCCGTACGTTGTCCTTTCATTTCCTTTCCCCTGGTTACCTGCAGCTCCCTGGAAGAAAATAGCAAGTTGCAACGTACTACTATGTACCTCTAATCTCTACTGCCAGACTCCACCAGGCCGTATCGTTGCTCGACGTCATCGACTCCTGGCTCATACATTACTATCCAGGAGACTGGGCGCGGCAGATGGGAATGTCCGCCCCGGGGTATCCCGCACTAGGAGCTTAGGGCTTGGAAGCGGAGTATGGGTTGAGCTGCTTGTTGGATGGTAGCAATAATTATGGATTCAATTGATTCCTTCCCTCTTCGTCCCTTGTTCCGACAGCACCGTTGTTCTGGGGTCATGCCATTTGCGAAGATGGAGCTTATCTTAGACTTGCTCATTGCTCAAGCCAGCTCTTTTGTTGTTCGAGGGAGGGAAAGTTCAGGCTAGCTCAAAGGACTACTTCATCGTGGTGTAACATGCCATGCCGCCACAAACCTTCTCTCCCTGACCTGCCATAGTCGTAGACAGAGGTCTCCGCGAGATATGGCCAGTGTAAGAGAAACCTGGCAAATCAAGCCTTATGCCCAGCATCGCCAAGAATCTACCTGGGCACTGGTGATGGCTGGGCATTCCGACGGAGACATCCGCCAGAGTCGTCCATTTCTCGGTCTTGCCACCGTACAATATATCCATTTCGGAAGTGACCCTGCAAGATATATCTATCAGTCACCATCAATTCATACATGCTGGATCTGGAGAAGTGCAACTCGTGCTTATGCGATAATACCAGCCCGACGTAGGAGGGCGCGTGAACAACTTCCACAAATGGATGTATCTACACAGTGTCAACTGCATATCAGAACCAATATAGTTCGCCTGCCCACTAACGAACAGCTTTTACTGACACTACCGCCCAGCACCACCCCTTGCGACAAGAACAACACCAGACCACCGCCCCCCAATCCCCCCCACAACACAGATACGAGCTTCGACGGAGGCAGTGAAATCGTGTTCCGACCCGGTGGATCAGGGTCTCGGCGGCCCCCCCAACGTCATTGTCCTCGGGAAGCCGACCCAAGGTTCCAGCCCAGAATACGAACATGGTCTCTAAATATGACAGCCCGCAGATCTGGTACCCAGGTACATTACGGGACCCGCAGCTTTCCACTACTACAATCTCTGATGCGGCTTAAAATAGTATCGCGGGTGAATAGTCCGACCCGAGGATGATCACCTGCCGGGCTCGTATCCTGACTGGAAGAAGTTTGATCCCATCCCGAGCATTGACTTCGCGTGGAGATGGGATGGGGCCCGTGATTCTGCTAGAAGCGGAACACGAGGTCGGAGATCTTGATGAGAACTGAACGGGATTCTGGAGAGGAATATCGGCGCGGGCTGTGTTGTGCCAAGATTCGCCAAGGGGTGTCGTGGACGTCATTATTCAGAGTAGCAGCGGGACGGGGGATTACTATGCGCGAGGTATAGAGCTCATAGTAGGGTTGGGAAGATAAATAGCTCCGTCGCTCTCGCCGATCTGTCTCCAAGCTCTATCCGACCGCGCATCGCAAAGACACTCGCGAAGCTACATCGATCATACTTATCAGACCTAACCTAACACAAGGCTACTGTTCAAATCACCATGCATTTCTTCACCCTGCTCCTCCTGGCCTACGCCGCCCTCACCGCCGCCGTGACCTGCGACGTCCGCGGCCAGGTCCACAACTACTTCGACTGCTTCAAGTGCCCCGCCCTGGCCTGCGGGTACAGCAAGCGCACCTTCATCACCAAGGGGCTCACCCGCGACGTCAGCTGTCTGTGGACGGACGGCGAGCGGTACAAGGGGATCAAGTACGCCACCCATCGTGTCTGACCCATCTTGCGTTTGTGGCTCCAGCTCCCGCTGACGCTCAATGCAGCAACTGGTACTATGTCCCGGCCGACAAGTGCTATATCTGGGGTGGACGGATTGATACCAAGCACTGCAAGGGAATCTGTAAGTCATGGGTCCCATTTCTCGGTTTGAGAGGTGAGAAGGCGGTGGTGAGGGCACTGACGTTGCGTAGCCAAAATCCCCAAGTGCGAGCCCTGCACGCCTCAGCCTGGCCCGCCGCTGCCTCTGCCCGTGGCCCCTCCTCCGCCGGCTGCTGCTGCGGCGGCGGCGGCTGGGGTCAGTGGTGGTAGTCCGGGTGGTCGACGGGATGTAGAGGTGGAGAGAGACGTGGAGGTGGAAAGGGACGTGGAGGTGGAGTTTGAGGCGTAAGCTGATGTGGGGAGGGTTGTGAGGGAGTATGGTGGACGTAGGCAGGGGAAGTGCTTTGTAGGGTTGATGGTTAGGGTGAAGGGATGTGGGATATGAACTCCGGGAGACTGTAATGTGCTTGTTCTGAAAAGCTGCTCCTCGTTGTCTGGGTTTGATATTGACTGTTACTCTTGTATCTTAATCACTGGTATTTAAACTTTCGAATGAAATCTACCGAACTGCACTTGTTGACCGTTAAGCACATCCCCCGACCTACAAATCAATCTCCACCAGCTTCGCCGGCTCCTCCCCCCCCCTCGGCGGGGTGATATGCCCCCCATTCGTCGTGACAAACAACCGCCGCCCATCCCCTGAAACCACCCCGGACGTACACCCCGCCACCAGGGCACTATCCCTCGCCCCGGCCAGCACCGACCGTCCCCCATCCGCCGTCACCCTAACCACCTGATTATCCGCCACCGCCATCAAATACAACCCGCCATCCTCCGCGACCGCAAAATCATCCACCACGACCTTCTCCGCCACCGTCTGCACCGCGCCCGCCGCTCGCACGGTCTGCAAGGAATCATCCCACCCCACCGGGACCCGAAACACCGCCTGCACGGCGTCAGTCGAGTAGTAGACGAAGCCGCGCCACACGCGCACCCCGTTCACGCCCAGCCCCAACGGATCCGCCGGCGACGCCGCCATACTCGCCGTATCGTTCAGCGCCACGCCGTACGTTCCGGTCTGCGTGTCCAGCTGCCAGATCACCCCGTTCACCGAGTCGGCCATCAGCACGACCCCCGTCCCACCCTCGCCCTTGCCTCCAGACCTCCCGGCCGGGAACAGAGTCATCCCATTCAACCACCCCGCCCCCGGCACATCCGCTATCTTCCGCACAGACACTGCACCTGACCCACCCGAAAGGTCGACAGAGTATACCCCCCACGACCCCGGAACAGGGTGTCCGATATCCGTGATCTGGAGTCTACCCGCGACGACGGCGTAGACCCCCTCGCGCGCGAGCGGGGTGACTCCCATGCAGGCCGTTGCGTTGGGGAAGGTTGCGACCACTTCCCCCTGGCCGGTGGAGATGTCGATTGTCCAGAGCTCCGGGACGTCCATTCGGGTTACGAGGAGTGTCTGGGTGGTGTTGGGGTCTCCGGGGACGGGGGCTGGCCCCAGGGCCAGGTTTTCGAGCCAGGTGCCGTTCGTGCGGTATTGGAATTTTGTGTGCAAGGTTGTGGCGGCGGTGCTGCCGAGAAAGAGGGAGAGGGAGAGGGAGAGGGTTCCTAGGGTTCCTAGGGTGAGGAGGTTGAGGGGGAAATGCATTTTGGGGGATTGGCCGAGGGGCACAGTTTGGGGGATTTAGGGACTGTACTGGGGTGGCTCGGCGGGAGGGGTGTGCTTAAATAATGAGGTTGCGGGAGCTACGCGGGAAGAACGGGTGATCGACGTCTGCTGGCGGGCTGGCTGGCGCTACGTTGCACCCTTGCTTGGCGTGGCTTTGCATGGACTATTGGTGTTGTGCAGCTTGGCGGGTCTAGACAGGCATGTGAAGGGTGCGGTTTGGTTGCTTTTTACTGGGAGATGGTTTCGGATCTATGGGATACTGTGTAGTAGCTGAGTGAAAGCCCTGTTGGATGTGCATCGCCCCTCTCTTTTTAACATACAAGATAAAACCAACGAAAATAGTACTGAAGCATCTACGCGTAGGGCATCTCCTCCTCCCGCAACCGACTCGCCCGCCGCCCCGCGTGCTTCTCCCGATCTGCCGCCAGCGTCTGCGCGAATTTACTCCGCCGCCGGATCGCCGGCCCCTTCCAGTAGAAGATGTAGATCGGCACCGCCACCAGCGCCGCAATGCACCCCAGCAGCGTCGACGCCCACGCCAGGTGAAACTTTCCGCCGATGTTCTCGTACAGCGGCGTCGCGTACATGGTCGCGATGCCCGCCAGGAAGTCCCGCGCGAATCCGTTGCCCCCCGTCGCCGAGGCCGAGTACGGTCCGTAGGCGGCGACCATGTAGTCGATGGTCGCCATGTAGATGGCGTAGTTGGCGATGGCGATCAGACAGGCAAAGATCAACGGAGCGATCCACGGCGCGTAGGCGGGGCCGATCGAGGTCCATGCAAAGCCCAGCAGGCCGATCGGTTCGAGGGGTGCGAGGAACAGCAGCAACAGCAGCCGTCGCTCGGCCAGGCGCGCCGCCGAGCCGTGCTTTTGGCGGATCTTCCGCTGGCGCCAGATGTCCGGAAGGAAGATAAGGTACGCGATGATGTATCCCAGCAGGATGGCGCAGAACGCCAGCCCGTTGGTCAGGGTGTTGAAGCCCCATTGGTCGAAGACGAGGGTGAACGATTCCGTGAAGGTGAAAATCAACGCATCGGAGAACCCGGAGAGCAGCGACAGAAACAGGACGATGGGCTCGCGCACGAACATCTCGAACGGCCGTCTCCAGATCCGCAGGATCTCGCGCAACTCCAGACGATTCGTCTTGAGCTCGTTCGGTCCGTAAACCGCACGATCCTCGCCCGACTGGCGACGGCGCTTGGCTTCCCTGTCCAGAAGCACGGTGGCGCGGGTCTCCGGCACCAGGAAAAAGTGCAGCACTTGCGTGAAGCCGCCGAAGATTAACTGCACCCAGAACACCCACGGCCAGGTGAGGTACTGGCCGATGAACCCGCCGAAGACGGGCCCGATAGTTGACCCGCCTACTGAGGAGAGCACCACATACGCCACCGCGAACCCCTGATCGTCCGCCTCCCACATATCGGCCGTCATGCCCAGTGTCACCGACCCCCCGGCGGAACTCAACCCGCCCAGGAACCGGCACACGACGATCGTCCCGAAGTTCGGCGCCAGCGCGCACGGGATCTGCCAGATGTTGACCAGGAACAGACTCAGCTGCATGATCGGCCACCGCCCGAACTCCTCGCTCCAGGGCGCCCACAGCTCGCAGCCGAACGCGTACGCCACCAGGAAGATCATCTGGCCCACCCGCGCCGCCTGCGCGCTGACGCCGAAGGTCTCCTCGATGCCCGTGAGGGCGTCCGAGTACACGCCCGTGTTGAAGTTCATGGACATCTGCACCATGAAGATCACGGTTAGGATCGTCCATTTCTTGTACCACGGGAAAGAAAAGCCCAGCTTGTCGTAGCAGTCGTCTTCGCTGAGCTCCCGCTTGCCGTCGGGTCGGGGTTTGCAGGGGAGGCACCCATCGCTCTCGTCGGAGGAACGCTGCGCTGCGTGTTCGGTTTGGGAGGTGGTCGGGTGGTCGGATTCGGATTGTCGGCGTTGGGCTTTCTTGTCGTCGGGTGGAAACTCGGTCTTCTTGTCGATTGTTCCTTGGCTTGTGTTGGTTTGATCATCGGATTGATTGTTAGGTTGATAGGTGGGGTGGGTGTCAGGCGTGGTCATTGTGATGAGCGGCGCATGAGATTAGTCGGGCAGTTGTTAGGGTATGACTAGAGCAAGCAGAAAGAGGCATGGAAATCAGCGTATAATGCTCCACTGTCAATCAGATAGACAATGCTTAAATTAGCTTGCAATTCTTGGCAGAACGTACGTGGAATCAAGGCCCTTTATACCTGCCGATCTATACTTATTCCCATCCCCATCCCATGCACAGAGTCTTCGCAGGAGTCAGTGGCATGACGTCGCGACAGCACCATCCAAAACATTTCTCAGCAGTGTTGGCCTGTTGATGGTTTCAGGTACGGAAAAGATCTTCTCCTGTCTGGCGTCATAGATTGTAAGGCCTGTCAGCCAACCGTCCCTAGGACGTACCACGGGCGGTGATGCTTGTTTTCATCAGGCATGGTCCACCAGCACGCAACATACTTAGTTTATTGGCCGTATGCCAGACTGGCAATGGTGCAGTGATGTTCCGGCCCTGGTGTGTAGGCCGGCTCTCCGTGCGTGGCAAGCCGGGGTTGTCCGGCGGGAAAATATAACCGGGGCCCCAGATACGGCCCACCGGTTCGATTGGGCTGTCTCCCGGTGTGATGAAAGATGAATCAGATGAGTTGACGTGGAGCGGAATCGACATGACGTCAGGCCGATAGACAGAAAAGCTGGTGCCTGAGTCGGATGTGGAATCCACCCCGGACTGTGGTTTTCTTCTCCGCATCAACCGGGTTGTTCGGCTTCATATGACGCAAGCTGAGCTTCTGATTCTATGTCGGACGATGTAGATACAATAGTTAGTAAGTTTATAACTCCCACTTACTTGATCCACGCCATGTTGTGTGAAAGAACTCGGTACGAGGGCTAGGATGGGGGTCTCCGATTATCCGATGCTTAGCCTCTTGGCGGAGGCTTCGACCACTCTCGGGGCTATCAGCCGAGTAATCCGCCCAGGCTTGTTCGTCGGTTTGACTGGGGTATCGGGGCTAGCCAGTCACCTTGTGGCATCCCTCCGCTCTGAATCGATGCGGCCTGAATCGTTGTGTGCTTGTCAGATATGTTGTCTGGTTGGTTCCATGTAGCTTACGTTAGTGCTTTCAATAAATGATCTCGCCAATTTTCAATCCTCATCATGAGGAAAAGAAAATGAATCACAGGCCGGACCTTGCAGTCACTGATGGTTGGATTGTTGATGTAGGGTGTGTACAGCCTTTATGTAAGATAATATGTGCTTGACAGAGACCCCGAATTTGATACCTGGTCTCGAGAACGGCGACCTGCATTGCGAGCGCTTCAAGGGAGGGAACCCCTCGGACGTATTGAAGCGCTTTTTGCTGTTCTTGTAGGAAATGAGCTCAAACGGTGGAGCTGGTTATCCTGGTACATCATGGTAAGATCAGACTCCAATTGGTTGATAGAGACAAAGAAAGTGCAGCCCCTGTCCTGTTGAAGTTAAGTCCAACCGGTCAAAGCAGTATTTGGATGTCAGCAGTAGAATCGTGTGAAACTCAGCCCTTCATTGTCAGCATACGCAGCTGAAATGCAAGGATAGAGGACCAGATAATGAAGCATATACCCAATAGCATAGACGGGCGAGTCGTGGTCAAGTTCGTAGGAAGTCGCGAGATGGTTGGGAATTAGGATCACACTTTCCAAAAAAACACTAATCCCCTACAGGAAATATAGTGGTAATATGGCACTGTAGTCCGACAGCCACTCCCCGCTTTTGACCTCCATCTCTTACGAGGAAATCAGACGATGGTTGCCCCGGTCAGATCCATCGAATTCAAGGGTGTTCAAGCTAGAACACACTCGGAAAGACTCCACCGGCTAACTTGCTTTAGCAGCAAATGCATGTCTCGCCCTCGTCTTGGCGTAAGCAGAGCTCACCCTCAAAAATCCAAATGCGCGGCTGGGCCTCGATCCCGCTGTCATATCACAAAATATCGAAGGTAAATCAGGATAGAGCTCGAAATGTTATCGATCTGGTGGATCACAGTGTGTCTCTTTGCGATCTACAAAGCCCTCTTCTTTGTGCGCTTGTATATCCAAGCCCGTCGCACTAGATTTCCCATCGTCTTCGCCCCCGCACCGACCTCAAGCGCCCCCTGGTTGATTCTCGCTCCAATCCTGCGTCCATATCTGCAACCAGTTCTTCCAGGATGGCTTTACGACCGTTGGGATCTTGTGACACATGGCTGGGAGTTCCGCATGAAACGCGGCCCTTTTGACCGCTGGGGGAATACCTTTGTCTTGCTCACCCTCGATGAATGCATGGTCTGGTGGGTATTATCCATGTGTCTTGTACGGCCATCCTTCTGATTTGTGTTTAGGACCGCAGATGTCAATCTCGGGAATGTGATCTTGCAACGCAGGAATGACTTTGAACAAGCCCCTATTGTCGGAAAGATTCTGGGTTTCTTGGGGCCTAATGTGTTTGCGGTACATCAGTCATCGTTCTCTCCTTATGCTTAGACACTGACATGAGAGATGCAGACCAATGGCGACGAATGGTACGCAGCCTTTACTGGAACGCTGGCTCTTTCTAATCTCTCGCAGGAAACGTCACCGTCGCATGTTTGCTGCCAGCCTAGACGAGCGCATCAGCCGAATCGCCTGGTCGGAAAGTCGTGAACAAGCCCAATCGATGTTGAAATATCTCTCTAACCACCCGGGAGGGGATACACTTACTGGATTGCGGAACCTGGCGATCAATGTCATCGGCCAGGCAGGGTACACGAAAACCACCCCTTGGTCGCCGGCACCACTTCGAGACAGCGCCGACCAGGAAGAGCACGCTCGTACGGCCTACTTCAAAGCCCTCGCGCTGGCAACCGATATGTTCCTCGTGGCCGCCTTCATCCCTCCCAAGCTCCTCAAATTATCCTTCATGCCGGCTCAACTGCGTCTCTTGGGCCAACGTCTCGAGAAAGTCCCGCAGTACATCGCTGAAATCTCTGAAGAGGAGCGCCAAACGGCGAGGGACGAATCCGCGGGGCGCAGCAATTTCCTCCGCTTCTTTCTGCAAAACTCGGACACAGACGCGACCTCCGGGTTTGCCTTCACGCCAGAAGAGCTCAGTGGGAACCTGTATGTCTTCACCGTTGCGGGTTACGAGACGACTGCCAATACCATGGGGTTCGCGGTGACACTGCTGGCCGCGTATCCCGAATGGCAGGAGTGGATGCGCGACGAACTGCGTGATCTTCCTGTAGAGTCGTCAACCTGGTCCTACGACGAAGTGTTCCCCAAGTGCCAACGTACATTGGGGTTCATGGTACCCATCCCTTTTCCTTCTCACCCTGTGACCAAACTCCTGACAAGATCACACAGTTCGAGATCCTCCGCCTTTTCACCCCCGTCCTTCATTCGACCCGCGCCGTGTCCGGACCTCAACAGCTCGTCAGCGAAAAAGGCACGCATTTCCTCGCGCCCCCGATGAACGTCATGGTGTCTGCGGCGGCCATTCATCTTGACACAACGATTTGGGGAGAGGATGCCACAGATTTCAGACCCTCACGCTGGATCGATGACACTGGCAAAGTGAGATCCCCACCGAGGGGGACGTTTCTTCCGTGGTCTGGCGGCCCCCGCGTCTGTCCGGGGATGAAGATGTCCCAGGTGGAGTTTGTCTCCACCATGGCCACGCTGTTTCGGTCCGCGCGGTGCGAGCCGATTGCCGTCGACGGGATCACGCAGCCGGAAGAGCTGCGGCGGAGGTTGGTGTGGTTGACGGATAATGCGATTACAAAGTCGACGATGCAGGTGAAGGATCACAAGGATGTGCAGTTGCGGTGGGTGCGGGATGTATATTAGCGTAACTCGTTGTTATTCTAGCTTGTGTTCATGCTCACCCGCCAAAACCAACTTCACCATAAACTGTTCCTTAGGAATCGATGGACCGAAATGCTCACACTCCCAGAGAGCAAAGCATTCACTTCCCGGCACTAGGCTACTAACTTAGTAGGGGTTCTTCACTGTAGGCCCCGGGCCTAGCAGCCTAACACACGGCCCGTCAGTGTTACTCCCAGCGCTGGCCTCCCCCGAAGCCATCCCCGGAGTCACTGTCTCTTACTCTCTCACCACCAACACTTCCTTCGCCATCTTCTTCGTTTATATCGATCTCATCCACACCACCCACCTCTACAATCCTCAAACCTACGTATCTTGCACATCCAACCTCTTCGTTCCAAAACCAGTCAGCAGAAAAAGTCTGTGCAGGAATTTGAACCCAATAACTAACTCTCACACCGTTCCAGAACCCCACCTATAGCTTGACACCGCAGACCTTCACCCCTCGATCCTCCATCCCGTGAACCCCGAACATTGTTCCTCACAACCGTGAACTATGTGTTGCAGGAACTGCGGCTGGAACCACATTACCACCGAGCCTCCCACGAAGAAATGTATCAAATGCCGCACCTACCTCACACTGTTTGAGCGCATGCCCAGCAATGCTCCGTCCAAGCCCCAGGACAAGGACCACAAGCCCAAGCCTGACGACGACAAGTCAAAGCCTCAGGCAAGCACCTCGAAGTCTCAGGCGAGCAAGTCCAAGTGAACAGCAACATGTTGGCCAGTTTCGCATCTGCCAGTTACCGCTGTTCTGGAGCCACCTCATCGCTCATCTTATGTGGTGATAAAACACCTCTATCAACGCGTGTGGTTGGATGATTGAACTATGACTATAATCACGTGTATGTGAACTGCCAAACATCGTGTCTATAGCAAAGATTGACTGGTCGCATACAGAAATGGTAAAAAGGGTAGGAAAAGCGGAATTTTCTTTTGTGCTGTTGGCTTTCTGAATCTGGAAAGGATTGGGTGTGGCTACCATGGCGTTCGGACAGATTTATTCTATCACCGATAGAAAGGTACTAGGTTTTCTCGGCTTATGTTTTTGTCATCTAGGTTCTTCCATTGGGAGGATGAGACAAAAGCTCCGGAGTTGGGATTTGTTCTAGCCTGTTCTGTCTTTCTCTACTTGGTGCTTATCTTTGTCTACCAGTCTCCAGGGCATATGAATTGACTCTTTCTGAACACTATCATCTTTGTTGCCATCGACAGCTTTGGTGGTAAAAAATACATAAAGCAACATAGAACGTAAGAGTCACGATAGCACCAGCATAACAGCGGTGAGAGTCCATGATAAATACAGCAAACAGGGTAGAGGATCGCTGGGGTGCCATCGTGGACTGCGCAGCTTATCTGCTTAAGACTCATCCACTTCAGGCTCATCCACTCCAGACTCATTCTTTTTGGACTCCTCCTCTTCAGACGCCTGGATAAAAGCCTTCGATCTACGTGTGTCGAGATCAGGTTTGCAGAGGTTATGGTAATCAAGAAACCATTCAAAGGCATCCTCCATATCGGGCATGTACTGAGCCAAGAGCGACTTCCAATCAAGGTCGTCCTGACCCTCACCAGTCAAAATGGTACCGATATATTCCCACCAGACAGGAAAGTATCCGGCTCTCTCCCAGTCGATGATACCAGCCAGCTCCCCATTCTGCACCATGATGTTGACGTGTGTCAGATCATTGTGGGTGAAAGTAAAAGGCTTAGTGGGCGGCATATAGCGTCGAAGCCGACGACGTACGGCCTCAGGGAGGTCTGGATTCAGGCGTGCCGCCATGCCATTCCACACATTGTCATCAGACTTTAGCGGGGGGCATGGTGCATATTGACGGCCATCCTCCGTGTACAAGTAGTCAGAGTAGATAGGACGGCCGTCGAGCCCTTCAATACGATCGGACTGGAGGGCGCGAAGCTGAAGGAGATACTCGGCAGTCTGCTTCGCAATGTTCTCCTTCTCATCGTCAGTCAGCTTAGGCCAAGCCTCATTGAGGGGTTCACCCGGGATGCGAGTAATGATAGTCAGGGCGTGACCGTTATTTCCTGCACGATGCGTGATCACAGTAGGAACAGGAATGGTGGTGTTTTCCTTAACGAAACAGAGATTTGCACTCTCGTCAGTGGGGAGCATGGGGCCACGATCCTTGAGAATCAGATCCGAACCCAGGGCCCAAACGCCGCGATCGCTGGCTTCGTAGAAGATTTTGACGTCACTCTCGTAGTCGCAGCACCTCTGTCGCTCTGGACTGAAATTGCACGCAGAGCAAGGTACAGTGGAGCGCGGAGTGAGCATATCAACTGCGGGGATTTCTTCTATCCTGGCCAGATGTTCGAGGGCGTCCTTGCCTTCGACGGCGACGAACTTCTTGGTGCCAGACTTGTTGGCGGTCTCGGTACTTGAATCATCACCGGCCCCAGTTGAACTGTCACTGCTAGACTCGGAGGATCCCTCATCTGAAAGCTTGATGGAAATCGCAGGGGTGAGGACGCTGGCAGGCTGGGTGAGAGACTCGGCCGTAGGCTCAGAAGCCGTCGCAGTGGTGGTCATGTTAAGAGATTCAACGCAAGACTCAGTAGTGGGCGCAGTGCAACTCTCAGTAGCGGCTTCAGTGCTAGGCTCGGGAGAGGCCTCAGTGACAGGCTCGGTCGAGGTCTCAAAGGTGGGATCATTGGCAGTGTGGGTGGAAGACTCGGTTGTGTCCTCGGTAGCTGTCTCAGAGACGGGCATGGTGACAGGTTCAACGCAAGACTCAGTGGCAGGCGACGTGCAACTCTCAGTAGAAAGCTCAGTGGTATTTTTGGTAGAAGTCTCGGAGACGGGATCATCGGTAGTGCGGGTGGAAGACTCGATTGTCTCAGTAGAAGTTGCAGGCGCTGGCATGCTGACAGGTTTGACGGAAGCCTCAGTAGTATGTTCAGTGCAACTCTCACAAGAAGCCTCGGTAGGGGTCTCGGAGACGAGGTCTTTGGCAGGCTCGGTGGGAGATGCGGTGGGATTCGCAGTGTAAGTCTCAGCTGGAGCCCCAGTTAGAAGCTTGATAGAAGGCTCAGTGGGATTGTCGATGACAGGCTCGGTGGACGCCATGATAGAGGATGGTGGTGAATGAGGAGGGGAAGTCATGGGAATAAAGGATGAGAGCGAAGTTGTTGAAGAGGTGGTAGGGAGATAATTCAGTGTGTATTTGGAATCGCAAGCCAAATGTTTTGCATGTCACGGGGTCCACGGTGTTGCTGGGGGTTTCCTGTTTGAGAAGCAACTACTGGTCACGTGTCCAGCCTACAATCCTGGCAAGCCTGAACTGCCTTCACACTCTTCGCATATCATTCGGCTTCACTCCAATCCTCTCTTCTCCTTTTCGATTCCTGTCGCATACCAGTATCGCAAGCGATCCTTGTGAGATAATGGCTGGTGAGATCTATCTCCAGTAGTGTTCTTTTTCCCTCTAACGCCATCGTTATGAAAGAAACGAAAAGAAAATGTCGCCTATGCTGCTCCGCTTCGAGATTCAAACAATTTTGCAATTTTGTAACGCGACATACCTCCGAAGTTACTCTAAGGTAAAATCCACTGTCATTACAACGATGTACACCCGTGCCAGTCCCTGTGATGCAAAGATTAGAGGCTGACCGGTGTTGGTATATGTAGTCTGTCGCACCACCCAAGGCCTTCTATCCAGCCGCCATGACTAACTACTTCCTATGCAGCGCGACGATCCTTCCGGTCAATCAGAGGTGCCTATGCTCTACCCGGATGAGTCTCCCTGACTGGCAGTGACATTCCCGCTGCGGTGCAGAAATAATATGTCGTGATGCACGCAGAACACATTATGGCTGTGAGATGTCGTTGGTCCTTTTGCAAAGCCTTGACAGTCAGCCTGCCCTCAGACACAACACCTTGGCTCTTATCAGAAAGCTCGAATGCTAAAAATTGATTCTTGCTTAGATCGATCCACTATATTTCTACCGGTGACCTTGACGACAAAGACTGCAACACCGTCTCAGTAGGTCGCAAGAAGCTTGGAGGAGACCGCGTGCGTTTCTCCAGCGATCCTGTTTACACACGCGAGGGCTCCGGTCCAAGAATATGCGACTCGCGTTCAATGACGCTCCTGTCGAAACTTTGAATCGTCTGGCAATACTCCCCAACCAGGTACTCTACCTGCGGCTCACTAAGGATGTGACTCGAGGTCGCGATGTTCACATGCAGTAGGTTCGCCTCAGGAAGAATATGCACATTGGCTGCCTGTGAAGGATTATTGGGCAGGGGATAATGGCTGGCGTGGCACTGGACTCCATCGAGCCAGCAGTCAGTCGGAAATTCATAATTGCGGACACGCACGAAGCTGGCGAGAGGAGTAGGCGTGGGCCAGGTCGTGCAGTTCCTCACGATGTCTCGATATCCCAATGCGGAGTAGGGCATAGTCTCGAGGTGCTGCTGTTGAATCGCGTGAAGGACCGCAATTTTGGAGGCCATCGGCTCAAACAAGACGGAGACAGGGACAATGCTAATACAAGGGCCGAGGATGCGGTCAGCATGGGCCACATCGACATTCCGTCCGTGCACAACTTGTCCGAAGACGACAGCCTCAGAGCTCTCAGATTGCGAAGCAAAGTACCGGAGAAGCGTGACAGCCCATGCCGCCTTCAGCAAGCTGGCTAGGGTGATCCCGGATGGCAAGGAAACAGCAGGGATTGTCTTTACGACATTAACCACATATGCCGGCCGTGCAGTACTGCCCTCCGGCCCGGGGATAGGAAGTCTGTGCTCGCGTAGTGAAGTCATCCGGGTTCCCTGCAGGACCTTTCGCCAAGTATTATACGCAATGTCCGTCTGTAGCCCCAGCACTGCTTGCAGGTGAGCGGAGAATGGGCTTGTCGCAGGCAATGGCTTCTCGTTGTAAAGAGCAGCAAAGTCACCGACGAGGACGGAGGCCGAAAGCCCGTCGTAGAGCGCATGGGCGATCCGGAATACGAGAAACACGTCGCCCGTTTGCTTGAGAGTCACCAACTGCGAAACAAAGGGCGGTCTACCACTTGAGGGACTCTCTGCGACAGCATTGTCGTCCGAACAATATCGGTCCAGATTATCCGTTTCGAAGTCACGAATTGTCAGCGGCCAGTCTTTCAACACTACCTGAGCATATTCGCCGTTCTGAGCGACAAAGGCCGTTCGCAGAATTGTATGCCGAGCAATGAGCTGCTGACAAGCACGGATGACCCGGCTCCGATCGAAGTTCAAGGGCAGGCCGAACCGGAAATACCGGTAGTTCATCATTGTCAAGCTCGTCTGTTGAAAGTCGGCAAGGGGCAGCATCTCGAGCACCAAAGAATATAGCTCCGCCGGTACTAGTCGACGCAATCCTTCATTCTGAGCAGCAGCGAATTGCTCTTTGCCAGAGCTCGTCCGCGTTGCCTGGCGCCCATTATGTGAAGGTTTTGGCCTCGATGCCTGGGCCATGTCGGACAAGATTGGACAGTTTAGAATGGTATCTTCTGTCAAATGCAGACCTTCTCTGCCTGCGAGCCAAGCCAGCTGAAATGAGGTTATTGAATCTCCTCCGATTGCGAAGAAATTGCTGTCGGCTCGGACCGTATCCTGAGGAAGCTTAAGGACCTGAGCTATCAATTTCCGCAACTGCACTACTGGGACCGATGCGTCATCTGGGGCATTATCAGCCATAGGAACCTGCGACGCTTCTGTCGCTTTGACCAATTTTGCCCTTGTTGAAATGGCCATCGGGGTCAGACATGAATCCTCTGGCTCGGGATATTCCTCGTTGGCTGCGGTTAGCGTCTCAGATACCACCGATTTCAGCCGAAACCGATCAAACTTCCCTGACTTGTTCAGCGGCATTTCTTCGACGAGGAAAAAGTGAGGTGGCATCATATATCCAGGGACACGGGTCATCAGATACTTCTTGGCTGCTGTTGCCAATTCGCACTTGAAATCACATGGAACCATGGCTAAGGCCCCAGCTTTCTGTACTTTTGGGCCCTGCGCTGAGCTTGAGCTATGTTCAATGACCGCAGCGAGTTGCGCCCGCATAATCTTCCCACGATGCTTGAGTCCGTCTACTGTAATGACAACAACCTTTCGCACACCGCGACTGACGAGCTCCGGACACTTGGTGAGGTGATGCTCAATCTCCCCGGGATCCACCCTCCTGCCGCTCACCTTAATCATGCTATCTTTTCGTGAAATGTACTGGATAGACCCATCCAGATTGTACCGCACCAAGTCTCCAGTGCGGTAGAGGCGCTCTCGGAAACTGCCAAATCCGTACGGAATGACTCGGGTTTGCCAGTCGGCTGACTTCATGAACACGAGACGACTTTTCTCCTCGTCACCCCAATACCCCCTTGCGAGACCCTTTCCTTGAAGCACAAGCTCCCCAACGGCTCCGACAGGTGCCAGGCGGTTCGGGTCATCCACATCTACGACCCACAAGCAAGGGTCACAGGCATACCCGACGCTGCGTTCATCCCAACCTGGCCCAAAGTCAGGAGCTAGTATGGCAACCCCGGCCGTTTCAGTTGCCCCATACCCGTACATCACACGCACATGCTTTGCCCACTCCTTCACCTGGGACATGCCAATTGTTGTCCCCCCAAGTAAGAGCACACGAAGGGTCGGGACATCAAGTGGCTTCACAACGTCCACCAAAACTGGCGTCAAGAATGCATAGTTGCAACGGTGGCGGTTGATGAACCCTGCCAGGTCCATCCGTATGTCGTTATCAGAGGGAATGCAAAGGCAACCCCCCACCATAGGCATGAGCAGAAGTTCGCGGTTGCACAGGGTAAACCCATTCGCGGCAGATTGTACGCGGCGGGTGTCTGGTCCCAGCATCAGCGGTCCTATCGTTGCCAGAGCCGAGGCGCAGAATGCCCTATGCTCAAGTACTAGACCCTTAGGCTCCGACGTGCTCCCCGATGTGAAGACCACGTACAGAGCATCTGAAGGTGACGATCGCTCCTGTTGTTGCTGCAGAGCTCTGTCGTCAATGTCCTGGTCGAGAGAGGTCGCAGCGTCTTCAATGATCACGGTTGTCGGGGTCAAGCGACGGGATAGCGACTCGCAACCGCGCGAACACGCGACAAGTGGCGCAGAAACGGTCTCAATCATCTTTCTAATGCGCTCGAACGGATTGGATACATCCACCGTGAGGAAGGAACCACCCGCACGCATCACGCCCAAGGCCGCGACCACTAACCATTTTGACTTTTCCGTAAGTATGGGAACGGTCACCTCGGGGCCAACACCCATTCTGATCAGCTTTGTGGCAAGCCTAGCGGTCAGCCGCTCTAGCTCGCCGTATGTGACCTCCCCGTCCCAAGCTGAAATTGCGATGGCTTCTGGTCGTTCGCGACAAGAGCGCAGAACGATCTCCGTCACGCATTGGTCATTGACGGAGGTCCTTCGGAAAGGCATATTCCATCTAGCCATACGTTCGACATCCTCTTCACTGCACAAATCCATGTTTCCCACTTGTTGCTCGGGGTCTCGAATGACAGCCGATATTGCGTGGTGGAAAGTCTGAGCCAATGCCTTGACTTGCTGACGAGACCAGCTCATAGGGTCAAAGTCAATCACTGTTAAAAAGGCCGGATGGCCATGGCTGGAAATGATCTTCACAACTAGCTTGGACTGTGTCTTGCTTAGTCAATGCTTGTAGTTGAATGAGGAGATGCTGGAAGAAAGTACACACGCTCGCATATTCCCTTGTCTTATCGTGTATCTCGCCGTCCACCTCAACAGCAAGCATAGTGTTACAGACTTCATGGTGATTTCCGCTATCATCCCTGCAAAGAGACTCCGAGCCCTCACAGGGGCACTCCTCTCTCTCACCTCGCCCCTTCTTTTGCAGAATGTCCTGAAGAGTAGTCGTGCCGGTGATGTGGCAATCGTACAACTCGAATTGCCTCCTTGTGCTCGTGGCAAGCTCGAAGCAGATGTGATCCAGAGAGGTATAGCTTCGCAGCAGCAGGGCCCAAGCCACCCGCACCAAGGAATCTACCTTGCTTCCGCTCTCAAGCCACTTCCGTGCATCCGTTTGGGACCATTCCAGCACTACCGATTCGCGCTCTCCTGGCCTCGACGCGGCTCTGGCCGAAGTATCAGCACTGGCGGAAAGGGCAACCCTCGGAAGAATACATATTGGCGGCGAAACGATTGCCGTCATCGTCGCGAATTGCTTTCAAAACGTGTGATCCAAGTCTTTTCGGTCGAGAGCATCGCAGGACCACCGCTCAATTTATATGTCTCGATGACCGAAGACAATCTCATTTATCCACTGCAGCAACACGGGGTAATCTGCCCTCCCTTGCCTCTGCGCCAAGCTAAGCCACACCGACTCTTCTAACTCGAGCTTGGGGTCGACTTCCAAGATTATTATTTTGATCGGAGGAAATCTCGATACGCTGCTGGCGCATTCAGCCGATCCGTCACCTAATCGATTTAACAAGCCGCATCCCTCAATAAGCAGAGCACAAGAGATCTATCGGATGAGCTCTTCAAACTTAGAGCAGTCATAGAAGCGATCTATAGGCTCCATATAACAGGTACTGGTGGCATGTGTTAGTCGTGCGAACGCGAAGCATATGTACGATGACCGGCATCCATCGCAAGCCTGGGCGGCTGCCTTTCCCGACACAAGCCATCTTCCCGCAAGATATGCGCAAGAGAACATTCAGTCCAATTCCTTGTGCGCTGCCAACCGGCCTCCAATGCTGTTTCATTCACTGGGCTGTAAAATTGGCTGTGTAATGCTGAAGGACCGACAGAAACATCATGAGAGAGCTTGGATCCCCTTCGGTGCTGACAGAAAGTATGCATGAAGACGCACGATGAACTACAATTCAGTCCAAGACCATGAGGAGCAGTAGCATCTGGTTTCCCACACGGGTGGTTAGCACGATGTCACGTAGCACATTGTGGTACACGCACCTGACTCCTTTTCTCTCCGTTTCCTCCTTTGCTGTTTTCGGATTTCACTACCTATCAGTCATTCCAACTATGCCCCTCCTACCACAACAAATCTTGGCCGGCCTTGCTGGATGTCCGCAAGGGTTGTGTGGAGACTTGATGCTCAACAGCGTGAGCAACTGTTGTGACATCATTGTGCATATTGATTGGTGTGTCGGCCCTTGGATGTGTGGTGCAAAATCATTCGTCTCGTCTTTGGATCTCCACTTCAACTCCATCGAGCAGGCTTCCCATCGGAGACATCATCCTCCTGTCGTCTGTCAGTCATTATGATAAGGGTATAGACAACTAGGCAAGGACGATGCTGAGTTGAGAGTCAACGAATTTCGAGAAAAGAAAAGGCAGACAGCAGCAGCGAGCTTTTATGGCTGTCCTGCTTTCTCCTCCTCTCTCACAGGTCCAACTCTCCGAAAAAAAGCCGGATGCGTCATTTGGTGTGGAGACCACCGCGCGGAGTCTCCGGTGCGTATAAGCCACAAAGATCAGGACTAGTGACTGGACAGCGAGTGTCTTCCACTGTGTTCTTCGTTCGTCCTTTATGACTTCTATGCCTTGGACAGCGGCGAGTTGTACAACCCTGACAAAAGACGGAGTGGATCCTGCAAACAAAGGAAGCAGACACAAGGACACTATAACCGCCGATGTGGTGACTGGCGGATTCGCTCATTCGGTTGAAATATCTTTTTGAACGCCGTATCATCATTATCATCTAATCGGTAGCATCACGATCGTCTATCAGAAGGGTCTATCTACAGTCGACTTCCCATGTTGATGTGAACCGCCTTTATCTGCGAGTACGCCTCCAAGCCCGCCTCACCCAGCTCCCGGCCAATACCACTCTGTTTCACTCCTCCGAAGGGGATGCGGGGGTCGCAGTCCTGACTGCTGTTGATCCAGACCATACCTGCCTCGATCTCTGCCGCCACCCGGTGAGCCCGCTCCAGGTCTCGCGTGAAGACTGCAGCACCTAGACCATACGTGGTATTATTGGCGCGGCGGATGACCTCCTCCTCCGAGTCGAACGGCATGATGACCACCACAGGCCCAAACACCTCCTCCTGCACGATACGCATGTCATCCGTGACATCCGTGAACGCCGTGGGCTGGACGAAGTATCCCTTTTCCAACTTGCTGTCTGCAGGAGTATATGCGCCGCCACCAACCAGAAGCTTGGCGCCTTCCTTCTTGGCCAGCTCGATATACGACAGCACTCTTTCGTACTGCGCGCGAGTGACCTGAGGGCCTTGGTATGTCGATTCATCCCACTGATCACCGATCTTGGACGTCGTTTCAACCTCCTTCTTGAACTGCTCCAGGAAGGTGTCCAGCACCTCCCGGTGCACGAAAATACGCGAGGTCGCCGTGCAGATCTGGCCCTGGTTCGACATGATGCCGAGGTGAGACCACTTGACCGCCTGCTCCATATCGGCATCGGGGAACACCACCAGAGGCGACTTGCCACCCGTCTCGAGGGTGATATTCTTAAGTGTACCGGCAGCCATCTTCATGATCTCGCGCGCGGTGGCAGTGGAGCCAGTAAAGGCCACCTTGTCCACCAGCGGGTGCTGGACGAGAGCCGCACCCGCCTCGCGACCGTACCCATTGAGGATATTCACCACACCAGCCGGGAACCCAGCCTCCTTGATCAACGTACCGAGAACCAAAATACTCAGCGGCGTCTGCTCGGCGGCCTTGATAACCACGGTGTTTCCGCAAGCCAAAGCCGGACCAAGCTTCCAGGCGGCCATGGAAAGCGGGTAGTTCCAAGGGATAATCTGCCCGATGACCCCGAGGGGCTGGCGGAGGGTGTATGCGAATTTCTGGGGGGTGGTGCTGATCGTCTGGCCGTGGGTCTTATCAGCCCAGCCGCTGTAGTAGCGGATGGTGTTGATGGCTTCGGTGAGGTCTTCGTTGAATGCAACGTGGTATGGTTTTCCTGGTGTGCATGTTAGGGCCGCTCTATCGCTAACCGTCGAGTGTTGCGGGGGGGGGGGCTGAAGGCGAACCAACCATTATCCCAGGCGTCAATGGCAGCGAACAGCTCCCTATTCTGCTCGATCAGGTCCGCGAGTCGGCCCATGAGTTGGCCGCGCTCAGTGGCGGGCAGCTGTTTCCACGATGCATGGGCGAGGGCGGCCTTGGCGGCCTGGACGGCGGCGTCGACATCCTCCGCGGTCGCCGCGTGCACCGTGGCAATCGGCTTGTCCGTTCTGCGATCGTCAGTAACATGCGACTGTGTCTGGCTCGCTGCGAAACTAGACAAGCTACTCACGCTGGGTCCAGCGACACAATGGTTTGTCCCCCAGACGACGGACGGAACTCGTTGTTGATGAACAACCCCGTGGGCTGCTTGTACTGGCGGCCGTTGGGCGTGGTAAGCTCGACGAAAAGGTCGGACATCCTGGCGCAAAGTCACAGAAAGAATCTCCAAGTTGGACAGACAAAGACGAGAGAAGAAAGAACAAGAGACAAGACAGTTGCGATGGCAGCAGACAGCAGATAGCTCGGGTTTTGTGGCTTGCTGAGCGCACCATCGACCGGTGGAGTGTCGGCGGGCTTCAGGCTAGAACTGCCTAAACTGGATTTGGGGAATAAATTGTCAATTTGCTGGACTGATTCGGAATGGAGGAATCAGCGGGGCTCCAGCTGTCCCGCGGTTCCGATAAGGGAGGCGTTCAGATACCCCTCAGTTCTCAGTACGCTATCGATAGTGCATCACCCGAAGAGGCATGTTTATCGCCGGGTGGGCCATTCTCTCGTTGATTCTCCTTCTGTGGCATTCCGTGGAATTACCTTCCCTTTCGGAGCCATGATCCGCTTGAGCCACGCCGCTTTAAGCCCCACGCAATGCTGCTTTCTGCCCACCCATCGGCCCGTGCGGTGAGCATCAAAAGTGCGTGTCTGGAGACTCCCTCGGGGGAGGGTGCAATAGCTATGACTTGTAATATTCGATTTGAATCAAAACTTATATCTTTGTATATTATATAGATAACTGTATACTGAAGTAGTGAGGTTTAGGTATGGTCAGGCTGGTGTCCAACCCTCAACCTCTCACGACTCAGTCCCGGCTCTACCGCTTCTCACTGGTGAATGCCTCAGGAAAGACCAGGTTTGAAATCAGTTGGTTGATTCCTGAAACGCTACTTCTACTCCCTCTATTCAACGCCACATTGCTAGACCAAGTCTTGAGCTTCATCGGATCCAGGCCTGACCACGGCTCCGAAACAAGACAGAACTCGAAGACCGCAACTATACGTGGCGGCCAATTAATTTTCCCTGCAGTCGGATAATTTGTCGGCGCCTCAGCCCTCACTGGTGGTTGTCTCAGATCATTCGCCTCCCCAGAATCACAGAAGGCTTTGCATCTTATCGATAGTCTCGCAAGGCCCCTGCCTTTTCAACTCTGCAATGAGTGGAGTCCCTGATTAAGTTCCGTATCAAGAATGGCTGGGCAGCCCAATGTTTTGACCGTCCCCTGCCTGGAAAAACAACAACAAAACACACCAACCATCATAAAAACCAGATGTTCCCCATCGTTCTAGCTGATTACAAGCATCCATCAGATGAAAAAAGCCACCTCAAATGGAGAAACCCGCCACTGACCATGCATCACAAGAGGCACCGAAGGAAACCCCCGATGCAGCGCCCAAGTCGCCCACAGCCCCTCCAAAGGGCTCGACGGTGGTGTCGCTTACCATTGCCCTCTGTCTAGGCATTTTTTGCATGTCCTTGGTAGGCAACTCGGTGATGAGTCCGCCACTTCGATGACTAGAGTGCTGATCCCTTTCTCCCAGGATGTCACCATCATTGCTACGGCCATCCCGCACATCGCCGACCAATTCAACTCTCTGGACGACGTAGGATGGTACGGGAGTTCATATCTGCTCACCAATTGCGCCACTACCCTGGCATTTGGCAAATTCTATACCTACTACTCGACGAAATGGGTGTATCTCTCGGCCCTCTGCCTGTTCGAGATCGGGTCCGCCGTCTGCGGAGCGACTCCCAACTCGCTCGGTCTCATCCTGGGTCGATGCCTGGCTGGTCTGGGTGCCGGGGGTCTCTTCTCCGGCAGTCTACTGATCATCGCCCAGGTGGTGCCTTTACATCGCCGTCCAGTGTTCACGGCCTTGCTGGGTAGCATGTTTGGAATTGCTAGCGTCATCGGTCCTCCGTGAGTAGATCCATGACTGATCTCCTTCACCGTCTTGAGTTGACAGCCACTGACCGGATATAGCCTTGGTGGCGCTTTCACGGATCACGTCTCGTGGCGATGGTGTTTCTACATTAACCTCCCCATCGGTGCCGTGACGGGTCTCTTTGTGTTCTTCCTCTTCCACGCCCCCGGACCAGTTCAGAGCCGACCGAGTTTCCGTCATCTGCTGGGAAAGCTTGATCCGATAGGGACGATCCTCTTCTTGCCTGCCATCGTCTGTCTGCTGCTGGCGCTGCAGTGGGGAGGTAACCAGTACGCGTGGGATAATTGGCGCATCATCGTGCTCTTTGTGGTCGCGGGGGTGCTTCTGCTCGCCTTCGGAGGCTGTCAAGTCTGGCAGGGCGATGATGCCACCCTCCCGCCACGAGTCCTGCGCAATCGCAACATCTGGTCGTCGGCCTGGTTTGCCTTGACGCTGAATGGCGCCTACTTCGTGTTCACTTACTATGTAAGCTGTGTTCGACCCCTTCCGTCTTCCTCATCCCCTCCACTGACCTGCCGCCAGCTTCCCATCTGGTTCCAATCCATCAAATCCGCTTCGGCCACCAAATCCGGCGTCATGAGCCTCCCGAGTATCCTCGCCGTCGTGCTCGTTTCCATTCTCTCCGGAGTCACCGTCACGCTCTTCGGCTACTACAATCCCTTCATGGTCCTGGCGTCGACCATCCTCGCGGTGGGCGCAGGGCTCCTCAGCACCATGCAGCCCAACTCGGGCCCAGGCCAGTGGATCAGCTACCAGATCCTCGAAGGCATCGGAGTCGGCCTCGGCCAGCAACTGCCCTTCGTGGTCGTGCAGAATGTGCTGCCGGACCGCGATGTCCCCACGGGGACCGCGGTGGTCACCTTTGCCCAGACCCTGGGAGGGGCGATCTTCATCTCCGTGGCCCAGAGCGTCTTCACGAACCAGTTCACGCGCGTCATGCATGTTGAGGATCCCTCTGTCAACGTGACCGAGATTCTGGCCACGGGGACGACCACGCTGCGCCAAAAGCTGCGGGGGGATCAGCTGGAGACCGTCCTGCGGTCCTACAACTCCGCCGTAACCCAGGCATTCTACGTCGGGGTTGCGCTGGCGGCGCTTTCGGTGTTTGGAACAGTTGCCTTGGAATGGCGGTCGGTCAAGGAGACGGAGAAACCCGCGCCTGGCGAGGGGGATGCTCGCTAGCGAATTTGTCGTGTTTTGCCGCAAGGGAATAAGTCGCCTCTCAGAATAGCCGGAAATTTGGGAATGCGCTGGCCCGTGATAGGCAGGTAAATAGTCTGTATGCATGCATTATCCCTCGCGGACGCAGTGGCCCGGGGTCCGTCATCATTCACAGATCCTTGGAATTCATTTTCTAAAACACCCCGCCGATCCTCACGTCTAGGCAACAGTGCCCGTGCAGAAGAATGCCCCTTGCATGCCTCAATCTCACAACGCATGAATGCCCAGTGAGGTAAGGCGAGCGATTACCTCATGAGCCCAGCTCCTGTCTCTTGGCTCAGTCTTCTGTTGGTCAACGTACCACGGCAAAATAAATCGCCAACTTTCGAACCGAGCCAGGTTGGCCGAACATACTCCTGATCACATCCATCGCCATGACGATTTCCGCCACTTCCACTGCCGCTGCCACCTCCAAGCCTCAAGAGGGAGCCGGACCGGGGTCCACGGAGAAGGCCGGCCCTCCCTCGACCCCGTACCAGACCCTCAGCAAGTCGACCCCCTTCGCCAACCTGGACCAGCACCGGTACTGGCACGCGGTGGCCCCCATGCTGGGAGAGATGCTCCGGCGGGGCGACTACAGCGTGCACCAGCAATACGGCTACCTGAACCTGTTTGCGCAGGTGATCGTGCCCAAGCTGGGGCCCTTCCCGGGGCAGCCAGACACCTACAAGTGCCTGCTGGGGGGCACGGGGTCGGTGGAACTCAGCCAGAACGTCCAGCGCCGGGGGCTCACAACGCGGGTGGCCTTCGAGCCGACCAGCTACATCGCCAGCACGGGGACGGACCCATTTAACCGGCACGCGGTGCACGCGACGCTGGCCGAGCTGCGCACGCTGGGCGCCGCGCAGATCGACCTGGCGCTGCACCACCAGCTCCACAGCCAGCTGACGCTGTCGGACCGCGACGAGCAACGCATGACGCCCGCCCAGATCCGCGACACCGTGTGGCGCACACAGACCCTGCTCGCCCTGGACCTGAGCCCCGCGGACGACGCGATTACGGTGAAGGAGTACTTCTACCCGGGCCTCAAGGCCCAGATGACCGGGCGCAGCGTCGCCGACCTGTGCTTCGGCGCGATCCGCTCCGTCGACCCGGAGGGCCACTTCTCGGCCGCCACCCAGGCCATCGCCCGCCACATGCAGGCCCAGCCCCGGACGGACCTGTACTTCCTCTCGTGCGACCTCGTCGACCCGGCGGCCACCCGCTTCAAGCTCTACCTGATGGAGCTGGACATGCGGTGGGCCAAGGTGGAGGAGCACTGGACCATGGGCGGGGTGCTGTCCGCGGGCGATGCGGACGTCGCCCAGGGGCTGGTGATGCTGCGCGAGCTGTGGCGCGACTTTGGGATCGTCGAGGGCCTGCGCGACGAGCCCGAGCGGCCCTCGCTCCCCGGGGATCCGGACACCATCGTGCCGTTTATTTTGAACTACGAGATGCACCCCGACCGGCCTCTGCCGGTGCCCAAGTTCTATTTCCCGTTGGTGGGGATTCCGGAGCTGAAGATCGCCGCCGTGCTCGAGGCGTTCTTCAAGCGGTGGGATATGCCGCAGCAGGCGGCGGTGTATCGCGAGAACCTGCAGGCGTACTAGTGAGTTGAATGCCTACCCGGGGGAAATTTGTGGATTGCTGCTAATCTCTGTCATACAGTCCGACCAAAGATCTGGCGACGGCAACCGATCATCAGGCGTGGATGTCGTTCTCGTACTCGCAGAAGAAGGGGCCGTATTTGACTATGTACTATCACTAGTCGGATCGCATGTACTTTCGCTAGTTGGTAGAGTAGGTAGTAGTTATAAACGAGTGCAGTACAACCGGGTCCAACGCATTAGCCTCGAATTAAACAGACCACGAGAACATAGAACACTCTGAATAAATCCATTCTTCCTATCGTCATAAAGAACAACGTAGAACGCAGCTATATCCCAGTCCATAGTTCGGTTTAGCCTCTCGTCTCCATCCATCACAGCCCACCACCCCCAAGACATGCAACCTCAACCCCTTCACTCCCCCCCCCCCCTCCCTAAACGCATCCAACTCAGGAAATCAATCTACGACCATACTCCTCTCTCATCCCGAAGGTAAATTACTCGCTCTTCTCCCCCCTCGCGAAAACCGCCGTCCACCGCTGCGGCACCAACCCCGACGCCCCGTACGTCTCCTCGAGATACCTCCCCAGCGCCGGCAGGATCTCCGCCTCGTGGGCCTCGCGCTGCGCCGCGGACCACCACTTACTGACGATGATGGGGATGACAGGCGCGGCGATCCTGTACAGATCGGCCGTGGAGGTGTGGAACGCCTGGGAGATGGTGGTGGTGTGGACGCGCACGAAGCCGGCCTGCTCGAGGCGGCCGCGCACGTATGCCTCGTCGTCCCAGCCCGGGTTCATGCAGGACATGAATTGCTTGGTCGTGGGGAAGGGGAGCTCGGGACTGGCCGAGATGGTGCGCACGGCGGCTTCGAGGACGGGGAGCCATTCCGCTGTGTTCTTGTTAGCACTGCTGCTGGGGGAGAGGGGGGAGGGGGGGGGGGGGGGGGGGGCAGATAGGGTAGTGCAGGGTGTACTTTTCTGCCAGGTGGAGAGGGTTAATGTGCCGCCTGGTTGGAGGATGCGGAGGGTATCTTTATGCAATATTAGCTGCTGTTGCGGGTGGGGGATGGATCATAAAGGGAGGGAGGGAAGGGGTTACCATTCAACGCGGCGTAGGTATCCGGGAATGAGGTCCAGGCTAGCCCACAGCATTAGTTCATCGTATCACTTCAACACCCAGCCGGTCTCATTGTCAAGAGAGGACTCACCCAGCGCCGCAAACACATGCGTCAACTCCGCGGCCGGCAGCTCCGTGCTCTGCGCGTCCATCACCCGCGCGCTCGTGTTGGCCGACCACCCTTCCTCCACGATCTTGCGCTTGACGTGGCCCGTCAGCTCCGTCGAGATGTCGCCGCATATCAACTCCCAGCTGCCCCCGCGCTGCTCCGCCAGCACCTCGTGCAGCTTCTCGGCCACGACCCCCGTCCCGCAGGCCAGGTCGAGCACCTTCAGCGGGCGCTGCGGCGAGTCCAGGATCCCCGACAGCGTGATCAGGTCCTGCGTGAAGTACCGCGTGATCTTCTCGGCGATCAGGTACGTCTCCAGGATGCCTTTGCCGGAGTAGAGCTCGGTGAAGGTGGTGGCGCGGGTCATCTTGGGTTTTGGTTGTGGTTGTGGGTGTGGTTGTGGTGGTGGTTGAGGTCGAGATTGTAATCGGAGGCAGGTTGCGGGGTGGTGCTTGCAAGATGAGAGTTAAGAATCAGAGGGTGAGAACCGAGACATCAAACTGCTGACGGTGGGCTAGTTCGTCTATGTCATTTCGCCTTTGGCTTGTGTTCTTCAGCAGTGGCTCGCATTACGGGGACAAGAGAACACCCCTCTCCCCCTCTTTCCCCCCTTACCTTAACCTACTGCATGTGATGTCTCGCCTTCCAGACCGCCATAGCCAGTGCCCATCCCCCTGCATCGTGACATCAGAATGCAAGGAGCAACGCGGGAATGAAGAGAGGCTGCGGGTCTTTCATTTCGTCCGCTAAGACGAAGCACAAGGGAACCCTGTTCTGACGAGCGGAGTGTGATTGAGACACATCCTGACTCAGGTGAGGGAGCAGACGATCAGTCCACAGATCTAGGGCCCTTCGCACATCAGCTGAATATACCACCTCCCCGAGACAAGAAGCGGCAGTAGAATACAACACCCCATCATGGTGACCATCGCCTTCTCCCAGCTCCTGTACCCGAGCATCGGGCTGGCGAGTTTACTCTTCTTCCTGCGCGCCATCCTCGCTTTTTCCGGCGAGCCCAAGCCTGTCAATTGGCACGCGTGGGATCCCTTCCAGCGCAAGGCGAAGCAGGAGTTTTACTCCAATGCCCGGGGGCTGATTGCGAAAGGGCTCGAGAAGGTGAGTTGAGCCCATAGCCGACTTGCCACGGGGGGGTGAGATGAGATTGACATGATCCGGCATTTCCAGGGCCGCTCGGTGTTCCGGCTCGCGACCAACATGGGAACGTATCTCATCCTGTCCGACCGGTACGCCGAGGAAATCAGAAACGATGAGAGATTTAGCGCCTACGATGCCTTAGTGGATGTATGTAGGTCTCCCTCTTCTTTCCGGTACCCGATCAAGCATCGCATATTTGACCTGCCGTTTCCGAAAAACTAATTCTGATGGACTAGGTCATTTTGCTGGAGTTACCGGGCTTCGAAACGGCGTTCCAGGGCTCGCTACATAACCATGTCTCTCCAATTGCCATTCAGGCCTTGAATAAGGAGCTTGGTGAGTCTCGTTCCTGGATGAGGTTTCTAGCCCTAACTTACCGCCGTGACACCACGTCTGTTCAGTGCACTTGACGCGCCCCCTCTCCGAGGAAGCCAGTGAGTGTCTGCGCACCCAGTGGACCGAGACGTCCGGTAAGTCCGTCCCATACACGGCCTTGAAGCTTTCCAGCAAAACAGCAAAGAACTGAGCCGTCGATAAACCGCAGACTGGCAGACCGTATCCATCCGCGAGACGGTACTGGCGCTGGTGGCGCAGATGACGACGCGAGCCCTGATCGGGCCGGAGCTCAGTCGCAACCCAGACTGGCTGGAAATCGCCATCAGCTTCACCACCAACCGCGCCATCGCCGTGGCCGCCATCCAAGCCTGGCCCCGCTTCCTGCAGCCGCTGGCCCACTGGTTCCTGGGTCCCTGTCAGACGGTGCGCCGCCAAATCCAGCGCGCCCGGGGGATGTTGTTGCCCGTTCTGCGGGAGAAAGCCGGCCGCACCAACGACGACGACCCATCCGCATCGACAACCGCACACCGCGACTTTTCCACCCTGACATTCATCGACCAGTTCGCCCGCGGCGCGCGCTACGACGCCACGCTGGCGCAGCTGCGCCTGATCGCCGTCTCCGTGCTGACGACCGCCGATCTCGTGGAGAAGGTGGTGGCCCGCCTCGTGGAGCACCCCGAGTTGATCCCGCCGCTGCGCGAGGAGGCAATCTCCGTCCTGACAGCATCCCCGCAGGGCATCCACCGCAGCAGCCTGCTCAAGCTCACGCTGATGGAGAGCGTGATGAAAGAAAGCCAGCGACTGGAACCCGCCACCCTCAGTACGTCGTCCCCTTCTCGGTCCCTCCCCCCTCCCCACTAACTAAAAACCAAGTATCAATGTTCCGCGTCGCCAAAGAAACCGTCACCCTCCAAGACGGCACCCCAATCCCCAAAGGCACGCACCTCGCCTTCGCCAACGACCTCCGCCTCGATGCCACCCTGTACCCGGAGCCCGAGGTGTTCGACGGCCACCGCTTCGAGCGCATGCGGGGAGATCCCCGCACCGCCGGACTGACCCCGTTCACGAAGACGCGCATGAGTCACCTGGCCTTCGGGCACGGCAGGCACGCCTGTCCAGGGCGGTTCTTGTCCTGTGACGAGGCCAAGTTGATCCTATGTCATATGTTGTTGAAGTATGAGATCCGCGCGCCGGAGGGGGGCGTGGGGGGTGTGGTTGTGAGTGGGATGTTTGTGCAGCGGGAGCCCGGGGCGAGGATGATCGTGAGAGCTCGGGAGTTGGAGGTCGGACTGGCGGAGACTTTGCAGTAATTTTGGTTTACTCACTCACATCATAAGGTATTATACAGCGGTTCCGGAAGTGTGTATAGGTTCTGGTGATGGATCGTAGGAGTATTGGAGGCCTGGCTACGAATATCAGGCTTCTGTTATCGTAGCTCCCGTCATTGATATACAGCTATGGATGTATACAGACTGTTTTCTGGATGTACAGTATCTCATTTATATGTGCTCTTGTAATTGGCTTTTGGGCAATGGATTCTATAAAGAAATTGCTTGTCGTGGGAAACACAGTCTTTGACCCCAACGTCAGGGTTCACTAAGCTACCTGCTACCACCCATACTAATTCATTCTACTCCCCAGCCTTCGCCTTGTAGTCATGCGCAATCTGATATTGACCGTCTTCGGGGACATTGCGGGGCCGGTAGGGGCTCCCATCCTGAATCGCTCGCACGACCGCCGGAAACTCCTCGTAGACATCGTAGTGGACGTCATACCCGAAGACCCACTCCGGGCGGGGGAACTTAATGATGGCCGGGTCCTTCTCGATGGCCTCCCAGTCGGGATCGCGCATCTGCCCGTAGATGGCATTTCCACTCTCCTGGAGCATCTTCGTCCGCTGGAATCGCAGGGCGTGGACGGCCTGCAGCCCCAGGGGCACCCGCGCCTTGCCCGCCAGCTCCAGACAGATGGCCAGCGTCGCCGCATCCTCGATCGACTGCCCGCCCCCCTGGCCCACGATGGGGGACATGGCGTGGGCGGCGTCGCCGAGGATCATGATGCGTCCGCCGGTCGAGATCCACCGCGGCAGCGGATCCCGCGCAATGATCTTATAGTCCGCCAGCGTCTCGCGGGGGGTATGTCGCAGGACGGCGGCGATCTTGGGGTAGACCGGCCAGTCGTGCATGAGGGCCAGCGCATCCTCGACACAGGCGCTGCTGGTTCTCTCCCAACTCTCGGCCGCTTGCGCTTGTTCGTTCTGCGATTCTGCCGATCAGCGCATGCATCATTCCCTCTGACCGAGAACGGGTATACTGACCCGATGCCACACCTGCCAGACGACATTCTTACCGCGTTTCCCCGTCGCCAGGGTCAGCCCCAGGCCGCCGTCGGTGATATACCTCCGCACACGATCGCGCTCGCCCACCTCCTTCAAGATCCACG